TATTTTCCAAAATAAATAAATGACGAAGCGGAAGACTAATAATTTATATACGCGAAATATTTAATCGCGATATACGCGGTAGATTTACAATAACAGAATTATAGAATTAAGTTACAAAGAAATTCACTTATTTACGAAATTGCGTACGAACTTGTTATAATGGAAAAACAAAAAAATTTCGCGCAGAACCCGACAACACGTCTGTTACACTTGAGAGATCGACGAGATCTGAGGCTACGCGCTGCGCTGTGAATAGAGCGCACGCATCCCTCACTGTGCGCAAAAACACTCGCCGGTTGGAAAAACACCTCAGTCGTTGAACATAACACGTTTATTTTTCACATTCTTTCGTATTAAACTTTAACATTTATTACATTTCTTAGTTCTCTTTAAAGAAAGAGAACATTTATTACATGTCTTAATTCTCTCTCTCTCTCTCTCTCTCTCTCTCTCTCTCTCTCTCTCTTTCTTTAAAGAAAGAGAACATTCATTACATTTCTTAATTCTCTTTAAAGAAAGAGAACATTTATTATATTTCTTAATTCTCTCTCTCTCTCTCTCTCTTTAAAGAAAGAGAACATTTATTACATTTCTTAATTCTCTTTAAAGGAAGAGAACATTTATTACACGTCTTAATTCTCTTTAAAGAAAGAGAACATTTATTACACGTCTTAATTCTCTTTAAAGGAAGAGAACATTTATTACATGTCTTAATTCTCTTTCTCTCTCTTTAAAGGAAGAGAACATTTATTACATTTCTTAATTCTCTTTAAAGGAAGAGAACATTTATTACATTTCTTAATTCTCTTTAAGAAAGAGAACATTTATTACACGTCTTAATTCTCTTTAAANAAAGAGAACATTTATTACATGACAAAGAGAATTAAGACATGTAATAAATGTTCTAATTCATAAAAGTCTTAAGACATAAATGTCTTAATTTTCTTTAAAGAAAGAGAATTAAGAATTAATGTTCTCTTCCTTTTTAAAGAGAATTAAGACATGTAATAAATGTTCTCTTTCTTTAAAGAGAGATAAGAAATGATTATTTAAACTCGTACACATAGCACAGAATAGAACCGCACGCTGTGGACATACCGACATGTCGCTCGCGGACTGGCTGCGTAGTTCCAATGTCTACCACGCGTGGACATGCGCTAGTAGTTTACGGGGCGGAAAAGTGATTACTCATTCTCTTATTGACCTTGGCCGCTCTCAGGCTTCTCTCTGTTACGGTATAGATTGACATATAGACGGACGAATTTTTTTGGAGTCCGAAGCCTGATAGCTACTAAAGTCAAGCTTTATTGCGGCATATGGGCGAACACTTCAACACAGCTTGCGTATTAGATCAAACTAAAATGATGTAAGCGAACCAGAGTAAGATATAAGCAGATATAAGACAAAGTATATTTCTGTCCTTTTATTTTTTTTTATATTGAAAACTATGTCATCACTTACATATTAGTAGAATAAGGTAAATGTGTCCTAGTATCCAAACATGTCCCAGTATCCGGACAAGAATGCAAATTTCATTCATTTTGTGTATCCTAATTTTTAATATAATTAAAAACAAAAATTTTTATCGCAAAATATAAAAATTTATCGACATAAAGTAAAATAAGGATTATATAATATTGAAAATGATTAGTTATATATTTCTACATGTTTTAAACATCGCATAACTGAAATTTTTTCTCAATTATTGAACAAGTTCTTTTTAAATTTAATTTTGCAAACATACTGCTAAGAAAATTCGCCATATCGTTATTGTTTTGCCGAAATAGTATTTGGAAATTAATTTTGCAAACAGTGTTACAAATATTTTATAAAAGATAAAAATATTTTTACGTTTATTTCTCAAAATATATCTACAAAATTGCAAATCACAATTTTCATGTAAGATTTTGTCACATAATTTCATAAATGTTTTTCTATCGAGATATATGCATTTTAAGTTGTCCGCTTACTGGGATACTGCATAATTTTCGTATTTTCATTAAAAGAAATACATCTAACGTAATTCAAAAAGTTATTAATAAGTTTATTGTTTCAGTTTTCAATAATTGATTGCATCAACTTGTAATAAAACAAAAATGGTTTAATTTCATGGTACTTTTACACAGTAAATCACAGTAGATATTTTATCGCTATTCCTTAACACATTAAGCGCGATGTCAGTCGGTGAGGACTGACAGTGAACTTTTCGTTTCGGCAGCATTCGCGGAACCAACCTCGTCGCCTGAACGGAAAGCACAGCAAAATCGGCTCCGCGCTTAACGTGTTAAGCGTCCGGATACTGGGATATTTACCTTGAAGACAATAATTTACGAAACATATTTTTATTGAGATAATAAAAAAATCTTGGTCTATATATTTATGTATCGAAATATTTTTCTCAAAATATAAAAATGAAATGTTACCCGAGAAAAAACTAAAATTACATGTAACAACTTGTTTAAAAACTTAAAAAATACGTAAAAATAGGTACTATACTATAGTTATGCAACACAAATAGCTTTATCAGGTGTGTACGTTAAATGTATAAAAATATAAGATTGCGTTTACAAAAATCAACGTGGAACTGAGAAGTATAACGCAAAAAAACAAACTGAAAAAAGTTCAATTGTCCACAATCTTTAAAACAAAACGATCAAACGTATGGATTTTACTACATAAGACCATTTTTAACTAATATTGCGCGAATCTCTGGTAACTCGATTTTTGTAACGTTGTCAGTTATCTCAATAATTTGAATCTGAACAACTTTATAGACATCCATTAATTCCGCCAATTTGTTTTGCACGGCAGTTGAAGGATGGCCAGTACTGTCAACAGGAGCTAGATCTGTAACAAACGATACAACGTAAATGAAAGAAAATTTGTGTTTTACTTTTGTGTTGAAACTTTACTGATATTTTACGTTTACTTACTAATAACTTCGCATTTAGTCGCCATTGCTGGAGGGTGCATAAAGTCTTCGTGCATTTCTCTTATGTCACGATGGCTTACTGTCTCCAAATTTCCATAATCAATGAAGAAAATCTCAGATGCTGTCTGAGATTTTTTCGAATTTATGCAAACTGCACGATACCATTCTTTCTCATATAATGCCAAACATAATTCGTTGTTTTTAGGAATATAATATTTTGTCTTATTACAATACTCCGCCATCTGCAACAAAAGAAAGAAAGAATAAATGATATAAAATATGTAATGTTACATCATTTACACTGTGTGTGCGTGCATGGTAACATTTAGTAATAATTTTTAATGTAATATTTACCGGTGAACATAATGCATCGATTTGCGCTAACAAAGTGTTATCACTAGGAACTAACATGTAACTCACTCCGGGTTTTTCGATATACATTACCATTGCATTTACTGTATTACCTGCAGATCCTAATCTAGCAACTCCTATATCACTTAACATATATTTCTTTTCTGCACAGAAAAAGAATGAGAAAAAAATTAGTAAAGTTATGTAATTGGTTATATTTTTTCCTTATGAAATATCGGTCCATGCTTTGCTAATTGTTTATAATTTGTCCGTTTTCCAAATTTTTTTTTGGAACATATTTGGATGGTTAAAGCCATAACATAACTATATAACTTCTTAACTAATACTTAATATATTTAGAATTAATATAACTAATGTAATATTTCGAACAAAATATAATTGTAACTATCCGTTGACAAAAATGGATAAGTTCCTCTATAATACACGTTATTCCGAAGGTAAAAATATTCTGATAGTTTTTTGAGACATGGTATGATTTTAACTTTGTCGCATTATTTTACTTATTGCACATTATTAATTACCATTATTTGTTTTTGATAATAGCAACTCTTTTATCTTGTCATTGATCCTCTCTCCTGTTGCTGTTATCAAATAAACACCTTCTTCTGATGATGATGATGAACGTATATATGTTAAGGGAGTTTCAGTATCTGCTAGATTTTGAAGATAAATTCTAGCCTCTTCAGTTATAGTTACATCGCGAGGAACATCTTTTAACAGTATTTTTGTCAAACAACTTTGTTCCTATAAAAAACAAAAAAATAAAAACATAAGCGCATAAAAACCATATATATATATATATATATATATATGCGTTTTCTTTAACTGCGTTAGCAAAAACATAACTAACCTTTGCCAAATCGTCTGGTATGACTTGAAGGTTTTGTCTTTTAAGTTTATATATATTTCCGAAATCATTGTATTGAACCAAAACATTGTCATCTTCTAATAGTTTTACAACTGTGGCACGATAACTATTATCGTCGATAAATGGCGCAATTACAATTTGATTTATATTTGGAGGCTTGGTAAGGAACGGTGCTACGATCAAATAATTTGATATTCACAATTATTGTTATTTTGTTGCACTAATCAGATATTATAGTTCGTATTTTTACGATAATTATAAATGTTTCTTTACCTGTTTTTGCACAGTTTTTAACACGTGACATAATATTCAAGAAATACTTTTCATCTTCATCATCCATAGATCTTACAAATGCAACATAGTGGTTGTAAGGGTGGGTAATACATACCTGAAATAAAGAGTGCAAGAGTGAAGAATAAAATAAATAATGAAAATTTATTTCAATCTATTTTAGCAGTATACTTTCAACTTTATTGTTGAAAGTGTACTGCTTTGTTGAACGGTTTTAGATTATTTTATATTATCTCAAAAATTCTATATGTAATACACATCAAATACCTTAGTTCCACTTGTCAATTCTGAACGTACAACTGGTGTAACATATGACAATGGCTTCATTATAGCTGGTATTTCTTCTTTAATACAGCTTTTCTCCTCTGGAATTAGTTTTATTTTCATTTGTTGCGCGTGTTTATTTATTACCTTAATCTGAAAGACTTCTCCCTGAAAAAAGTTGATCAAATAAAAACTTTATTAATATGTTAAAGTTTAAATACAGTTTAACACTCGTAACGACTCTTTGTTATCACGCATATCTTCACCATGCGATCACGCACTTACGTTCACTACTTGCTAGCATAAGATTACGTACATATTGACAGAGTGAAGAGAATAGAAAGAGAATGACTAAAATAGCGGCCTCAACGTAGTATCAATAGCGGCATTTGACTGTATTATATATGCACAGAAGCAATAATGTAATATAGCGTATAAACAATTTTTTTTAAAACTGCAAAAATACAAAACTACATTTTTTTAAATACTTACTTCCAATTGAAATTCGGTAGATTGCTCTGTAATACACGTTACTCCGAAGGTAAGAATATTCTGATACTCTTTGGGACACTGCACGATTTTTTCTACTTTTACAATTTTTGGTACGTCTAATGTACGCATATATATGTTGGATGGTGTTGAATTTGGTAAATATATGTATCCTCTGTGCCATCTACTACCTTTGCCACTATCTTTTTCTAAGCCACAAATTAATTCATCTGCTTGTGGTCTAAAAGAATTAAATATTTGTTTTTATTTAAAGTTTCTGTAGGATACTTAGTAAAATTTTTATAGACGTTATGTACGTATGTATGTATGTATATACATACACACACACGAACACACGCACACACTTACTTGTAATTTATAACTTTCAATTTTTCACAGTCTGCTTGCATATCTTCATAAATTGTCTGAAGTTCCATAAGATAAGAAGATGCGCATAAGGTTGCATTATAAACATTATTTTCCACTTGTTCATGAAGCTCTATAAAACCGCTTTGTTCTAACTGAGACAATTGCTCTCCATTCATAAATTTATATAAGATGTTACACATTTCAGGAGCTTTGTTATTGATATTCGCTGATACTTGAGTGTTTCCTTGCGATTCAGGCTTTTTATTAGTACTAGTCTGACTCACTGATACTTGTAAATTTCTTGGTGACCCAAGTTCTTTCACTGTAGTATTCTTACTTGATTGTGCAGTGCTTTCTGTTGCGTGTAACATATCATCTTTAGTTTCTTGCATTTCTACTACCATTGTATCATCGGCATCTACGGATAACATTCTAATAGATATCTTATCTTTACACAACAGACTTTTATTTGGCCTATTCACAGGTGTCAAGCGAATCTTTTGAGCAAAGTTGGATATTTTAAGCAAATCTCGTATATCTTTGAAAATAACATTTTTGTCCAAAATTTCTTCGTTACCATAGTCAATATAATGAACTTTTATAGGATTGATAGATTTTACCATAGCTCTATGCCAAGTATCTTTGTAAAGTACACCGTAAACACTACCAACAACTGGTTTTAAATTACGTGATTTTACTGCTAAATGTTCTAGTTTATTCATTAGATCAGTACGTGCTTGTAAATCCTCATCTTTACATATCCAGTATTCGTCATTACTCAATTGCACTGTTATTTCAACTTTTGTGAACTTTGTTTGTGATAGATACTGACCGTTACGCGGAACAGTAAAAGCATTATTTTCTTGTTTGGCAGTCTCTCTGTTATCATGGAAAGCAGATTTTTCACCGTTTTGGTATCCATTCTTCTGATGAAATTGATTTCTGCCTCTCATATTATTATCATTGTCGATGTTTTCTCTGTTAGAATAGGTTCTTGTATTTGCAGTTTTATTAGACTGATAATTGCGATTATGTTGATTTTGAGGAGATAAAGATGTATTTTTTTTCGATTGATCAGTATTTTCGTCGAACTGTTTGGGCGACCAATTTTGCGAAGAATTTCTGGTTCCATTTGTCAACTGATCTTCTTGTTTAAGTTGAGATCCATTAACGTTAGTACGAAGAAGTGAATGTCTACTCTGATTATCGCCATTACTATTTAAACATCCAGCATTACTTTTGTCCGTGTTAGCGTTCACAGTATTGCTAGAGTTTCCTGTCTGCATATTAGGTGTATTAGGTCGTCGCAGTTTCACACTACCAAGTGTAGGTGTCTGTGTTACAGTCTTATTAGATGCACTTGACTGTATCTGTGTTTGATTTTCGTCTTTGATACACAAAGGCGACATATCATTAACTTTGTCTTTTATCAATGCCCTATAAAATTTTTCAAACAACTATTGACTATAATATAGTAAAGACTAGTTTAAAAATATAAACAATATATAAACAAAATAAAAACCACAAAAACAAAAAAAAAGTAATGTTCTTATCATATTACAATTAAACGATTTTGCTAATTTATATATATACAAATGTATATATATCAAGAAACGCAAAAGAACGTTCTCAATATCTGGTATTATTTGAAACATACAATCTGTTTTATTATCAATAATATAAGTTGTGTTTGTTAATACATAATTAGCGTTTAACCGTGATCTGTTAAGAACATTAGTTCTATATATCATGTATATATTCTTAAAGTTCCTTGATACTTCTGCAATCATTTTAGATTTTGACATAAGCGAAGAAATAATTACTGCAACTTATGAGATACTGCATTTCATTCAATCCTGAGTATATTTCACGAATATGTTATATTGATTAAAAATGAGTGCGCGCGGAAATACTATTTTACTTTCACATAAGTTGCAGTAGTTACTTCCTTGCTTTCTGACGTCAAAATCCAAGATAATTGCGGATATCAAGAAGCTAAAAGAAAAAAAATTTGTTAGCTTACAAAATATGCAGAAATACATTTTTAGAGTATAATATACAAATTTTACATATCATTGTATGTACACACATATACACGTATGTTAAGATTATATAGAATGTATTAAAATAAACGTATATTAGCGCTGTAATATATTCTTAAAAATAATTACGGTATTCTGTCACAATTAGCCTGATGTCGCGGCCAATCTTTCACTTGACACTCTTTGCTACAATAATACGTATAGCATCTTTCACAACGATGAACTGTTTTGGTATTACACAAAACACAGCTTTTTAGTCCTCTCGACAGTTTGTCTTCTGAATATTCATATAATCCCTAAAAAAAAAAAAAAAAACAAAAACAAAAATACGATATTAATATACACGCGCACACAAAATCAGTAGTAGTCGATTATTTAATGCAGTAATTATCAATGCAAGTATAATAATTTCAAGAACTCCACATATATACTTGCGTTAATAATGACTATTTAAATTATTCAAACAATCTTTAAAACATACAGTATTTCGTTTTTCGTGCATTTTATCAATATGTCCTTCTAAATTTGGATCTTCATCTGGAAACTCATACGAAGTATAACCACGTCCAAATGAAACGCGTCTTATACCATCTCGTGTAACTGTTACCTCACCTCTAAAATAAGAAACTATGTAAAATAAACGTATATATATTTATGTACAGGATGTATAAAAAAGGTCAGAATCCTAGAATATCTGAAAGAGATTGAGTTTTTGAAAACAATGTTTCATAAAAGCCTCTGAAAGTTACGATACTTGCAGCGTAGCACACACGCGAGTCAGTATGGTAACCCTCGCGTACCATGAGAAAAAGCGGCTGAGCTCATAAAGCTTGAAAATTTTACTTAATAAAAAAATAACTGTCTTATAGTGTTTCGAAAAAAAAGCTCTTGAAGTCAGCTACAAGAATATGCAATCAAAATTAACGACTTCTATTTAAAAATTTCAAAATAAGTTTTATGTGATCCTAACAATGCTATCCACAGTCACATTAACATTGCTATATGCTATTTAAAACTATACAACTTTTATATAAAACATTCTTTTCCAAAAACTTAATCTTTTTCAAATGTCACGACTTTTTTTATATGTCTCGTATATATGCAGCTGTTACATATTAATTTAACCTTGTCCATAGTCTATTCACGTCGAAAGAGGAATGATGTTCATTTTCTTTATCATTAGATACAACTGATCTGCTGTTTGAATTTGTTGTTTGCGTTCCTTGTGGCACGAGATTATGTTTACGAAGTGCATTTAGTGGATTGCCACGAGTAATTTTCTGAGTACTACATAAAAAATAATATATCAAATATTCTTTCTGAACTATATTTCAACAACGATTAATATTGATAATTTAACACTTACTAAATTGAATCATTACAAACAGGCGATGATTCTGCAACAGTATTTGGTGATCTGTGATTTTGCCGTTCATATATTTCATTAGAACTTTCTGTGAAAGATGCTGCATCATCTTCCTGCGGAGAAAACTTTGGTTTTCTCAATAGTATAATTTTCAGTTCTAACGCTTTATTCAAATTCCTAATTGTATGTTCAGCCTCACGATATGATCCATATGTAATATAGGCCCATCCTTTAGTAGGCCGGTAAATTAAATCAATAATTTTACCATAGTCACTAAAAAGTTCTCTGATTGCTGTCTAAAATATAAAAATATTTGTTATCAAGATAAGATGTATCAATTACAGGCGGATAATATCACATTTTTCTTAAGTAAGTTAACATAAAATTTATTGAATAAAAACTATAAAAAATTTTAAGTTTTTATACATAGTATTATAAACAGAAATTTCCAAATCTGTGCAGATTTAAAATTAAAATTAAGAGTTAAAATAAATTAAAATTAAATATTTGAATAAGTTAGAAACAAAGCATTAGCAATAAGTTTAGAATATAAGATAAGTAAGTATATAAGCTCGTTTTAATATTAAGATTACCGTAAAGAAAATGGAATTGATTGCAATACAAAGTGATTGTAATACAAATAAAATCATCATTAAAAATTTGTAAATGTTTTTCAATCATTTATAATATGGCTAAATAAAATTGGGAAAACATACCTCATCTAACTCTGCAGGTATATTAGTGACATAAAGAGTATAGTGTTTATTCATCCTGTAAAGAGAAAAATTGATATTTATATAAAAACTCTAGATTCTTTCAAGATACTCAAATACATGTCAAAGAATCTATTTCTTCCAATATTTCAAATGCTAAAAGAACCTTGAAAAGTGCTCTGTTTAGACTCTGTTTACTGCGCTAGAAATCACACTGGTTCAATTATTCAAATGTGATTGATCACTCTTTTTGTTTAAAATCAATTTGATCAATTTCTAGCACTGTAGAAGTGCTAGAATCATATTACAAAATGTGCCTCGAATGCAAGCTACTATTTATTTCGTGAGAAATTGTAAAAATCCTTTGACCATTGTATTAGATTTCGTCAGTATTCAGTGAAGATACGAAGAGATCGAGAATTTATAGAATTTATACCGGAAAACCCTCACAGATGGGGTTGCATCAGTTTTTTGTGGGGTTCTCGGGCTCTAACAATGCGCTCGTACATCACTCTGCAATTGACTCTACATATGTATATATTTCAAGTATTGGATCGGTCAGAAAGTCTTTTCGTATTTTGATACTAAAATTCTCAATTACTCATTTCAAATCTCAAGCCTCAATTTGTTTATTTTACAGGACCTGTTGTTTTGGAATTTTAAGGGCCGATTGTTTCATCTTCCGATAAATTTCACAGCTTACTCGACAGGTTATTATCTCTGAGGATAGGAACCCGACTAGCGCATCTCCCGCTGTTTATTTCTACATATTTATTTGTTAAATACGACTTACACGGTATCGAGAATGTGTCGTGTAATTTATCTCTTTTGGTTTCTGGTCATTTACCAGATATATAAATTTTACCGACACGTGGAACAACGCAAATCAGAATTTTATAAATCATTAGATAAATTACCCGATATTTTATCCGAAGAAGATGGAACCGGTCCTAAAAATCCGAACCACCTTGTTGTTGCTGGTTATTAAATTTATATTGATACTGTGCTTGTAAAATTTGTGCAATTACCAACTGAAAGCCCGATATAATTCGCGCATTTCATTCTAGTATACCTACACGCGAATTTTTCTGAATTCGCGGAATTGCAATGGGAACCAATGACCCGATCTAGATGGGGTTGCGAACGCAACTAACCAACAAATTCCTCCACATATCAAATTTTACTTTGTTAAAACTTTGTTCAATTCCCGTTTTCTTTTTAACTCTAATATCAATTCTTTTTAACATCACAAATCCACATCATATGTTACATTAGCGCAAATTATTTACGTAAGCGTATAACAAATTCGGGTTCTTGAATAAAAACATAAAATACCTGATGCGCTTCGTAACCGTTATAGAACTCTCTTAAAAGCACTTAAAAAAAAAAAAAAAAAAACTAATACGCTTTCTCTCCGTTGGTCAAAAGTGGCAAAAAAAATCACGATTATATAAAAAATTCCTGAGATAAATCCATATTCGTGCTGCAACAACATGAATGAAAACCAACCGCCAAAGTACATTCTTTGCACAAATTTATTTTGTTCTTACCTATCAACTGTAGGTGTTTGCTCGGCGTCAACATCGTGATCGTAATCGAAATTAGCCTCCGCCATTCTGTCGATGTTAATTTTATGCAAATACACACGTGAAAAGTTATTCTTCTAACGTGATTGTTTGCATTTACTTCTTCAGTTAATCAACACCAGCCAAACATCTGGCGCGAAAATATATCAAAAGCTGTTGATATAAAAGAAAATAAAGCACTGCTTTTTCAGGGAAATTTGCGGGAAAGTTATATAGAAAACTGATAGAAACGGACGAACTCGTGCGGAACCAAGCACACTGGAAGACACAAAAGAAATGATCGGTTTAATATGGCTGCGTAAGCTGTGGCCCGCAGATAACAGGAGATGCGAGGTAAAAGTAATGTTTAGAAGAGAATTTGAATTGGTCCAATCAAACACTTTGGAACACGATTCTCAAAGGTAAATCCAGTTTTGCCAACTTAAGCTGTAGAGATCGTAGACATCTATAGTTTGGTATGCGAAGCTTTCTTCCTAGATCGCGTGTATCAAAATGCCACTTCTGACGGCCGATTTCTTCATACCTCTCGATAGCTTATCCTCTGGATAAATTCCTCTGATAACCAACAAGGAGAACCAATTTTGGGAGATATCTTCTAAATAAAGTTATCGAAAGCTTATCTAGAAGTGAAAAAATTGGCTGTGAGTCTCATAAGCGGCAGACTTAATAACGAAGTGAAATGAAAATCAGAATTTTAGTAGACGCTCGACTATCTATGGCCTATGGCCTATGCCCATATCTGGACTTCGTGCGTCTCTCCTTTCTCGGACCTTGTGCCTCTCTGCGAAGATACGCGATATATTGGTATCACATATATGGTACGAAAATAGCTAAGAGGATCAAGTTACTTAGTTTTCACACGCCATTCCAGGAGAAGGTGTCCTTATGGCTCAGCGGACCGTTGTAGTTAGGTATATTCTATAGGAGAAACGAAAATTCGATGATCAGGCGCGAAGGCAAGAGAGGTGACTCTCTTTTGCTTGCGTCAGTGGCGCCACCGAGCACTGTGTTGACTAACTATAACAATCTCTTGTCCAAAGCTGCGTCGATAATGTCACTGTTCATTCTTCAATATAAGGTCTGACACTAATAAATACCACAATATATATATATATATACTATATATATGGTCTAATCGTAGAGTTTTGTTGAACACGGCCAATGACTCAGCAACAGAATCTCAAGTCTCGTCAACATTTTATGTAAATATATAACTTGCGGCCGGATATTCATAATCTAGGATCTTACTATTTAAAATCGTCTTAAGTTTCTCAAGAGATGGAAGCTGAGATGATTTTACAAACAAGAAGGTCTACTTATACGAATTTCGGCCTGTCATCATTTTTTTTTTTACTATTGTTAATGGACATCAAAATAGCAGAGTCGTCTGCACCAATCTGCACAATGATCAATGACGTATGACGCATGCGCAGAACAATCTTCAGTTCGAACAAAATGATCGTGATAAAAATTCCACAATCTCTCAGCACTGGCTCTTTCAGATCTAAACTCACATCTAACTCAGAAGCGCAAAGAATGTACGCACGCGAAAGTAACATTAGAATGAGAACATTCTCGCCGGATTACATCAAATGTAAAAAAGCGCACGCGGAACAAAAGGGAAATGGCGATATCGGATTGGTCGGCGCTGCGGACTGGCCTGATGTTATTTCGCGAGATGTGTCATGTGACCAAGTTCCTCTATTTATGCAAACATCACCGATCGACTCCTCGAGCTCGCAGTCTCGTGGCAAAACAATAACAAACAACACAGTTCGCAAGTCCAAGTCGCTCGCGATTTTCTTGCCCGTTTTTGCGTGATTACATTGTCGTGCAAGCGAAACGTTTTGTTGATGCAAACCGTTGCGATTGATCTGTTACCTGTGCCTGAATCGTCTCTGAAGCTCGTCGGAGGAAAATCGAGTCGACGTGAAACCCAAACAGCGTGAAACCCAATCTGGTCTCGCGTGATGATGTTGTCAGCCGCGAACAAGAGCCGTGGTTCGTGCGTATTGTGAACGCGCGCGGGCCAATATGCGATTTCGACGTGTTCGCCGCTGTTCTTCTCGATCAGGTCGGCTCGTCGAGTGTTCCAACGTGCTAGAGAACTAGAGTCGTCGCGTGTCGTGAGGTTGCGAATCGATCGCGCAACACGGACGAGTCAAAATTGAGTCGTGTGAGGTCGTTCGGTGGGCGATAGTCCACGCGTGCGTTTTTTTTTTCCATCGTTCCGCTCGCGTTTTCCATTCGCTCTGTGATTGTAATTGTCATCCACAAATAAAGACGCGCGCATAATAACTGTCTCGATACCGCGTCCCGATGAAATTGAAATTGAACAAGTCGAGTTGAAAAACAATATCGTTACTTGACGAACTTTTATTTACTTTCTCGTAAAGAAAAATAACAGCGCGATCAGCACGTGGCATTGTTACTGTTGAAAAATCTCTTGCTAATGGACGACTCCAAGTATAACAATTTCTCGCTAGGTAATATGATGGACAACGTGGTGAAACAGGAACCTGTCCAGGAAATGGGTTCAGCTTCGGCATCCGTGCCAATTCCTGGGGGATACAGGGGCACCACGCGCGGAATATATGATCAGTTTTCTCCGTCACCGTTGACAGGCACCTCTGGATGGGACATGAGGGCAGATACCTTGGATCCTTTTAAAATGGATCCCGATCAGTTGGATATCTCATTTAAAATGGATGAAGATGATATATTTCAAGTGGACAAAGCTGAACTTATCCAAGGCCCGACTCTTGCTGAATTGAACGCTGATGATACTCTTCTGGGGGACCTTAACTTTGACGACCTGGTGCTGCCAGAAGAAATGGTTCATCCAATAAAGGTTGAGACTACACCGTCATCTGGATCACTGTTCAACAATGGCATAGGGTTTGCACCTAGTAGTTTTCCTCAAACTGGATTGACTTATCGTACTTGTCCTACATTTACTAGTACTCATGGATTTAATGTAAACAGAGGTTCCAATATTGTGGACAACATGGAAGCTGTTAGTCCAACTGCATTTCCTAGTCCAGGCACTAGCAATATTGCAGGTACGTGTTTAAATAAACATACAGCAAATAGATACTAGCATACATATGTAAATAAACATACAGCAAATAGATACTAGCATACATATGTAAATAAACATTTGCATGAACTATCAACATAAATGTAATATAATTATTATTTTATAACTCTAATTATAAACATAAATACGAGTATAATTGAATTATTTTTCTTGGATCAGGAGAAAAAAATTATAATACATATTGTAATATAGACAGTTCAACAGCTAGTTCATCGACCTCGCCACATCCTGTAGGACGGCCTATTACATCACCTACTTTGCATAATCTTCTTATGAGGAGATGTGAAAATCCATTTAATAATCCAGCATCCAGTCAAGTGGATACCGTCTCTACAATTGGAAATAAATCCAAAGTTTCAAGACTATCCATGTCTGCGCCAACACAGACAATGGGACATCTGGATCAGGTCTGGGCGCGCAGGGAACCAAGACAGCATTTGTTAAGTACTGGTAGCTTGGTTGAGGCAGGTTCAACAAGTAGTCTAAGTACCGGAGGACCATTAAGTCCAGATCCACTTTGCACCGATCTTCTTAGCCACGACGAAGGTTATGAAGACAGTGACGATGATAGCGATCACTATGATGATTACAGCAGTGACAATGGTATTTATGCATATAATGTAATTTATGCATATATATTATGTATTAATTATTTTTTATAATTCTTGTATAGCAAAAAAACTGTTAATATTTTAGTTACTTAAAATATATCTTAAAAAAATGTTTATATTGTAGTCATTTAAGATATCTTAAATATAAGTTACTTAAATGACAAGTTGAACTGATATTTATCAGATACAGGTGGAAGCGATGGCGAGGATCAGAGTAACAGCAGATCGGAGTTAGGAAAGGAAAGCAGACACAGTAAAAAAGAGCGATTTTTCTGGCAATACAACGTCCAAGCAAAGGGACCAAAAGGACAGCGATTGATAGCTCGAGCACGCCTAGAAGATCCGCACGTCTTGAATGAAGCAACTGATCCGGTATTTAGTCCTCATTGTGCCCTCCGAGGAATTAAACATAGCGGGAAAGCACGGAAAGGCGATGGAAACGACCTTACGCCGAATCCTCGAAAACTTCATAACATCGGGCGCGAGTTAGACAAGCTCAATCGTATTATAAATGACATGACACCTGTTTCAGAATTACCCTTCACAGCAAGGCCAAAAACACGTAAAGAAAAAAATAAGTTAGCCTCGCGAGCGTGCCGCTTGAAGAAGAAAGCTCAGCATGAAGCTAACAAGATAAAACTGCACGGACTCGAGGCAGAACACAGTTGAGTAGATCTTAATAGAATCTGCACTTTGATGATTATTAATTACGATTATTGAAGGCACGAAATAAAACACAATAACGTGACTTTTCAGGACGTCTTATACAAGGTATATCACAAGCTAAACACACGCTCGCTGCTAAATTAGCTGAACCCAATCCGGAAAATCAAGAAGAGCTTACACGACAAATGGAGAGATACTGCAAGTTGGCCACCAGTAAGTAACATCTCAAAATTTATTGTTTTATACATACGCATGAAGTGTATTTTTTATATGTATGTAAATATGATAGCAGTTATTATGTCCTAACATACGTGCTAACTCGTGATTTCAGAAATGAAAATAGCGAATCATTCGACAGAATTTGTGAACAAGGTATTGGAAAATATTAGAGCTGGAATTCCTGACGGCGGCATCGATAATTTTTAATACAGAAAACTACTGTGTTTTCTCCTATCAATTGTGTACCTATGCATACATATTGAATATATCTACGCGTATATATAATAAACTTCAGAAAAATACACTGAAAATATATCGTTCGTACGCATATATACACATATATATGCTTACATATATATGCGCGTATATATATAATTATGTATGTATGTATAGGATAAAGCTTTATCTTTAAAGTTCAACGCTGTTGAATGCTTTGAAAAAAAACAAACTTATGTGGTTTAACACTTCTATATAGTTACCTTAATGTATAATTATCATACATTAATTATACATTGTTTTGCAAATATTCATCGATATAACTGAGAAAAACGAAACCTTGATACATGTATATTTGATTTAATCTCTAGCCGCTCTTCATGATCATATACAAATCGTCTCAGTCGTCTTTTCTTCTCTTTTTTTATTTTTTATTTTATTTTTTTAATTTTTTTTTTTAATGAAAACGTCTGCATTTTTATCCGTTGTACATATTGGTCAAATGTATATAACAGTTTTAACGTATCGTGTACGATAGTTTCAGTGATGTATCTTTGTACAAACACACATACACAGAGTGTATATTTTTTTTATAAATTAGCTACGGAGCAAATATATTTTGTCCTTTTATGGAAATTATATATTCTGATAAAAGTGCAAGAAAAAAAGTGCCGAATGCCACTTAACAGATGTAAAAAATTGAAAAAAATAAGTTGAAATTAAACGCAACTTTGTCATCTACGGTAATTCTGCAGGATGCGAAAAGAATATATTCGATTAAATATATCATCAATGTCCATTATATCGATCAGTGTTGCATATAATGGTTTTAATTTGCATAAGATAATGTAGCACAAGATTTCTTGCTTTAAAATAGCTACAAAAATAAGGTATTAATATAGTATTCGGTGTAATCATGTTGTTTTTTATTATTTGTTGATACTATAACGTGTTTTAATTGTTTCTTCTTTTGCGTAAAACAAGCGTGAATATAATTAGATAAGTGTAGTTTTTTGAAAATCAAGGTTTCGAAATTGTTGATTGCTTAACGCAACAATATATTAATTGACATTGATGATTTTTTTTTATATGTCGACGATGTAGTTTTAAACGTAGTAATAAAAAAAGATCTATAACGTGCAGAAGTTGCACTTAGGGAACGAGCTTTGAGTGATGTAATTGTTTGCTGTTTGCTGACTCGATCTACCTCAGAACGAAACGCTATACCTATAAATATATATGTATGTGCAAATATTATATATTTATATCAGGTAAAAACATTAGGTAAGTTAGTGTGGTTTGCGCCAGAATAATTCGGAAATCAAAAGATTGTCAAGTGATCGTCATGATGTTCGCACCTAATTAAGTATTGAAAAAAAAGCAACGTGTACCTTTCCGTAATTCAAGGCTTTAAATTCACGCGGAAAACTACGCGAACTTATTTGATTACCTGATATACATATATGTATATATTTGCATTGAAAATAAAATAATTATGTGTACATGGAAAGAGTTTTGTGTATATGAAAAGATTGTAATCGTGGCGTCAGAAAAAATGACATGCTGTTTTTTTTTAAGAGTTTAGGTGAAATACAATGCCCGGATGGTAAATCCGACATCCCTTCTGTTTATCATGTGACATTTAGAACAATTATACGCCGCGGTTAGAATTATATTTTGCTAATTACTAATATATAATAGATATATTTTAAATATGCAAGATGTTAATCCGTATTATATATATATATATATATATTCATAATATATATATATTCGTACTAATATTTTTTTAATCAATTTTTGTATGTAAAGTTGCGCATAGAGTATAGTGATAACGAAAAAGTACAGATATATAGTCATATATATATATACATAACTGTATGCATATATATAAAAATTTATAAATACAGATGTTATATAATCCTTATCAAATCGTTATGCAGTTTAATTTATTGTTATACAGAGTATATTATATGTGTAAACGTTGAACAAATTCAATGAGATATCACGAGATGTATAGCACGAAACGTCTCATTTCGAATCGATGTCATTGTAATCACGAATGTGCGACAAGGTAATAAGCGTGTACGTAATAGGAATTCTCTGTTCTTCTGAGATGTGTGCAATTACGTTCGTGCAAAACGTTTCCAATTATTTCGGCGATGATTTTGAATATTTTTATGATGCTGTTTGCGATGTGTTTGTGTTGTGTTCGCGAGCACTTGTGATGCCCAAGCATAAAATAAAATTTATTATAAATTGACGTGATAAATTGATTGACGTGAGTAAAATTAGCGCAACTTTTTGTTATTACGTGTCGTTACAAGTGGATGAAAAAGAAAGTTTATATAAAATTGTACTTGGCGTGCAGACGCATTCCCGGTATTGGTCACACAATTAATCGAGTTACGACGGCAAACGATCCGACGACAAGCGATATTTTGTCAGAATGTAAAAATGATGAATTGTCATTTTTATTCTAATAAAAAAAAAAGGCAACCATGTGAACGGACTTTTCTGCAAGCATGTAATTCTATACGTAATATATATATTTGTCATTATTTTAAGACATAATTATTTTTAGAATCAAGATTGGTCCTGAGAGACGCTAGAAAAACATTTTATATACGCAATACTATTTATAATAGAAGCATAGTTTCCTCACTCATTGAGAATTCATACGCGTGTGTTTTGTTTGCTGTTTTCTACTTTTTTAAATCATAAAAAAACTTAAAAAATATAAAGTGTACACAATTTTGTTTTTTTTTTATGATCTATTCGAATATGTGTGATGGGTCGACGAGGTCACAAATATAATTGATTTTTCAAGAGTAAACAAACAAATATATCTAATATATTGCACATTGATGAGAAATCATGTATTGTGTAGAATTTAGGGCCAATCTTTCATCAACCATGATCAACTTAACCGGCCGATCATTTCATTGAAATTAACCAATCACGTTAAACAAAATTTAGCCGGAATTGACCAATCATGGTTGACATTTGATCGACCAATTAGCTTAAGAGAGAAAAAATGAGATCGGCCTTTAAGTCTATCTCTCGAAATATGTATCTCGAAGTGTCTTCTTCTCTTTCTTTTCTCAGCAAACTATAAGAAAAAGAAGAAGAAGAGGGAAAAAATTCGAGATGATTTCGAGAGTGACAACAAGTGTCTCGATTTTTCAATCAGCACTGGCCACAATGCGCGTGCGCAAATTCTGTCTGTTTTTTTTTTTTTCACACATTTCCATCACTGAAGAAAGAACCACGAAACGCCAAAAAGAGACACACGCGCGCACATACACGTAGTAAGCGGGTACTCTGCAGTGGTATCAAGACAATTTGCTTTCTACAAGATTATAATTTTGCTTAATAAGCTTCGTAAGGGAAGCGCCCCTCCGAGAGAATTCGTGATAGTGTCGCATGACGATTCCGTACGGCACGTGAACATCTGCATGCTTGCAGTTATGTGCTTCCATTGTGAGAATACAAGTGCTTTATGGTGATAATATGTCAAAATCAAACATAAGGAAGATAACGGCTGACCCTACGAAATGTAATATAGACTCTTCTCGACGGCCGAGCGTGTTTGAGAGGTTGGGCACCAAACCAGCAATCGCCACCAACGCCGCTCAGAATACATCGGATTACTGTAGAAATTGGGCACTCAACGGCAGTTGTTCTTACGGAAAGAATTGCAAGTGAGTGCCTTGTAATTCTTGGGAAAAATGTCATCGATCACGATGACCTCTCCGATGTGCACGTTGAGAGTTTTCTCAATCAATTTATTTCACAGATCTAGACAGAGATAAAAAAAACCTATGTGTACGCGACATATATATATATATATATATTGTTTTTGTACGTGTGTACACACATTTTGCTATGTGTGGAGGAAAGTTGAGAACACACAAAACAAACAGTACCACGAAGATATAAACTTTCATTTGTTTTTAATACGTTTTTTTTCAAACAAAATTTACATCTGGTTGTTAAAGGCTTGGTTTGTCAGTTTACTCGCTTGTTTCACATGGCAACATGGTGTAAAAATATATTCGAGACTTGCAAGATTGAAAATAACGATCTTATAAAATATTGTTTTTTTTTTTTTTAATGAAATATATTGTTTGCTGTTGATTATTGAAGACAATAATGTTGCGTTTTTCTTTGTCAATCAGATACGCAAATACTCATACGTTAATAAGCCCGTCCAAGCGTGCTAAGAAGGATAATGCAATCGCAAACGCATCATCGGTAAGCACGTAAGATACATTGCCATTTAACATTCTCAGTGTTTTGTCAAGCAACACACGCATGTATGTAAGAAAATGGCATCAAAACAATTTGTTTTTATTTTTGAAACTAAAGGATGTTTTCTTTTTTTCTTTCTGTCGGTCTCTTCAATATATTATAGCACATCGAAGATCCATTCAAACGGCTTACTTCGAAGATTGTAAAAAAGGCGTCGCACAGTCCAGACTTGAATATAGAAGAGTGGAATCAAACGGATCTCGAGTACGAAGACGAGAAGGCATTGGAGAAACGGCGGCAGTTGTTACAGCGAGAATTGGAATTACAAATGAAGAAGGATAAGGAAGTACATGGCAAGGATAAAATAAGACAGAAGAAAAAAGCTATGAGCTCGTCTTCCAGTTCACATACTTCTAGCACATCTAGCAGTAGCAGCAGCTCCAGCAGCGAAGATTCGTCTTCCACATCTACATCAGATTCACGAAAGAAGATCAAGAAAATTAAGACTAAGAGACATCACAATGCTTCTATTGATTACAGCGAGGATAAAGAGAAGAAAAGAAAGTAAGCATTCTCTCTTGTGGCGCACGATGTTCTTTATAGCTAATACATGATAATTTATGTCATTTTTTTGTAATAAAACTTATGCACAATTACGTCAGTGCAAATATTTTATTGATTGAATTTGATTTTGAAAATTGTGTTTATAGATTAAAGCTCAAAAGGCTGGGAACAAAAAATGACAAAGCTGTAAGCAAGAAGAAACGCAAGCTCGACAGCAGTTCCGCGAAGAAAGATCTTACGGCGAGATCTGTGAAAAAGCATGGTTCGTCTTCTGCGTCGAGGAAGCATTCCAATTCCTTACACGCTAGATCGCCCACGAGTCAGCAAGGATCTTCAGGCGGGGTTGCGTCTACGTCAGCGATAGTTTTAGGATCGTCAGTTTCTGTTGCGCATCACGCATCGTCCAACAAGATCCGCGAGAGAAACAGAAGTGAGTCGCCGAAATCAATAAAACCCAATCGAGAGATGGATAAAGAGGAAAGCAGACATTACAAGAAGGTGCGTGACGCGGACGAGTGTCTCTCCAAAGACACTGTCAAGTGCAAGTCATTAGATAAAATCAAGGAACAGCAAGACAAGGAAAAGACCCGTGCGATCGATGAAAAGATCAAGTCGGACGACAGGCAGAGATCTAAGTGTAAAGACAAAGATGTGCATTCGCGTACGCCGCCTCTACCCTCGTCATCAGAAAGATCGTCCAAACATCAACACGTCAAGGAGAATGCAAAGACGCGACGCAGTCGGACGCCTGATAAGGCACCGTCGAGATCGAGGCGCGATCTCACTCCGATCAAAAATGCAGAAAAGCAAAATAACTCGTCGAATCGCGCGAGAGATGCGGAGAAGAAAGAACGCGATTCTCACAAGAGAGACAAGAGCAAGGAACGAGAGGATGTGAGAAAGAGCGAGCCGAGTTCTTCCAACAAGGCGAAGCAGACAGCACTTCCGACCCAAGACGAGAGTTATCGCAGAAGCAAGGACAATTTCGACGAGAAGACCTACAGCAGTGAAAAACCGCGACAAAAGAGTCGCGAGCGTCAACGCGAGAAAGAGACAAGAGAGAACGAGCGTTATTCGAGGCTTCCTCGCGATCAGCGACAGGAACCTCAGCGCGAGAAAGATAAGGACGAGTCTCAAGAGCGTTGCCGTAACGAGAGACAACGGGAACGAGATCGCGATAGAGATCGCGATCGCGAGAGAGAACGCGAGCGCGACAGAGAGAGAGACAGAGATCGCGACCGAGACCGAGAACGTGACCGTGAACGGGAGAGAGACAGGGAGATACGTGAGAGGGATCGTGACCGAGACAGAGAAAGAGAGAAGCCCATGAAGTCGCGAGAAAGGGACGTGTCCACGGTGGTGTCGTCATCCACGTTGAGCTTATCGGTAGATAAAAACTCGCGTTACAGCAGCAGGACTAAGGAACGATCGTTGACTAAGGATGCGTTTGAAAAAAGCAGCGGGACTCGCGAGCGCAGCAGGAGCGACCGCGAGCGAGAACGGTCCGAGACGAAAGCGCTCGCCGAGCGTGAACGGAATTCCACGCAGTCACGTTTAGAGGGAAGATATGAACGAAGCGGTGTGGTTGAGAAAGATGCATCGTCGAGTCGCAGTAAGTCGAGCGTGAATTCGCCGCGGGATCGCATGGATCGTTTTCGAGAGACATCCTTGGATCGCGCGTCTTTGCACGACAAAGGCGGACACACTGTAACGTCATCAAGCGTACAATCGGCTGCGCCGTTGTCTACGATACCGTCTACCTCGTCTTCCTCGTCAGCGACAGCCGCGGCACCTGCTCTGTCATCGTCTCGCGATCATCTGATAGACATGGTGGATGGTCACTACGACAGGGATCGGCACAGGAGGTTTGGCGTGAGATACGAGCGAGGACACACGTCGGAACACACTACTAGAAAAGACCAAACGCGAATTGAATCGAGCCGCGTTCCGAATAAGATCGATCGGATAGTGGATCGTCGAGATGCAACTAGTCCACGACGCGCTATAGAAGTGGACAGGAACTTTGGTAGAAACTACGGCAGAATGCCGGAGCACTGGGATGAGCAAGAGGAGTCGTCGTCTCACGTGGAATATCGCGAGCACGCTCATATTCACGAGGAAGACAGGAGAAAAACGATCGAAGGAAGAAGGTATGACAGTCCTTTTGAAGAGAGACGCGTTGCTCGCGAAGAACGTCCTAGGGAATCGAGGTACGTGATTCAGGCACCGGAGCGGACTGCTTTCGACGATCATCGTCATCATCACCATCATCATCGACATCCTGTGTATCCTAACGAAAAACTGAGACCAAGTGGAACTGGTACCAGGTAATATATAATATGTAATTTATTAACTTATTTATAGTTGTATGTTACAAAAATCAACAGTGTATAATTGTTCTTCCTGTTATCAAACAGAGAGGAGACCATTTCTAACGATGATTGGGAGGGACATCATCGCGATGTTGAGCATGGTCGAGACCGAGGTTATCCAGCAGTGGAATGGGAGGAACGAGAATGGCGAACGAGAACTTTATGGGAAGGCAGAGACAGTCTTCCTCGTTCGGAAACACACGACGACGAGTGGAATTCCCGATACGACAATTCCATAACCGACTGGAAGCCCAACGATGTACGCAAGTGGGACAATCAGAAAGTTCACGTTCGATCGCATTACAGGAAGGAACGTTCGAAGGAGATTGGAGAATCTGTACAACATAGGTATAGCACAGGATTAAAATAAAAAATTAAATCGATAGACTATGCGTGTTTCTATACTGATCGAGATTTCTTCGCTATTTCAGCAAACGAAGGTCGTATAATGTGCCAGAAACAAGAGAAGAGCCGGTGATTCATCCCTCTGCTAAACAGGCTGCTATTTACGGTAGTATGAAAGAAGAACCTATCAATAAGAAACTGATGGAACTTGCCGAAGGGAGATTGTGCACAACCACCACTAGAGAAAAGTCCACCGATAGTTTCCAGAAAAAGACCTTGCAGAAGGAGAAGCCGGAAATCAAGGAACCTGTTGTGACGGAACCGAAACGTCCTGTTACCGATGAATCCTTACAAACTCTCCACACTGAGAGTGATTTAAGTGACATTAGCGACGATCCTGACGACATACTTAACATGGAAGAAGATATTGCGGTATGTATGACTATATATATATATTTTTTTTTTACGTGGAAGAAATCCTTATAGAGGACACCCTCACCCTCGGGGGAAGGGCAAGGGTAGTGCCGAACTCGTATTGACTAAAAACTCCTACGGTGTGCCGACCGTGCGCGATTTTGGGGAAGACCCTGAAACTCTGAGAGAATTTGCCACGGGTCTTTCCCTTCATTTTAATGATAACACGCTCGGAAGGATGGTTGGTTCTTCTTGCATCTCGAGCACCGGCAGCGAGGTAGGACACACACTGCTTCGCTGCCCCGACTGAGGGGACCGCGTCAGAACCCCCCACTCTGACCCTGTAGTGATTATTTGTCTGCGTGATAGTTGGTAATATTACGCAGCCACCACTTCAAGTTGTGCCGGGGCGATGGCCTGACGAGGTGACCGGTCGTTCAAACGTCCATTGCCTCAACCTACCCGACACTACGCCGCGAACGCGAACAGATTTCTTCTTCCCCATCCAGAAGAGAACTGGAACTCTTTCCCGCTCCAACTCTTGCTCTGTGGTCTCCTGCAGCATCATCTGTTCACAGAAAAAGACCACAGACATATCTACATCTTACGTTGACTCTTAATGACCTTGTTTAATATTTGATTTATATCTTTTTGTTCTTTGCAAAAGAAATAGATGTTTTTTTGTTATTGTATAGGACATGGAAAGTACAGCACGAACAAATAAAAAAGTTCCGGAAGTTGCGAGCCGTGATGCACAGCCGACTACACAAGAGCCGACTCAGGGGTCTCCAAAAGAGTCTGCAGAAGAAGCTATCTTTAGTTCAAAACCTAAGGATAATGCCGATACGGTGTCATTGAAGTAAGACATATTTACACGAAATGACAATCTTTTAAAATAATCGTGTATATGCAAATTTGATTTTTTAAACAAAATAAACGTATTGCTATTGTTAATAGAAACATGGAAGACGATAACATGGAAACAATGGATTTCGAAGAAATATCTGACGGCGAGCTGGAAGAGGATATCAAAACGAGCGGCAAAGGATTAGGTGATGCTCTGGGTGTTGATTGGGAGTCTCTCGTGAAGGAAACGCAAGCGAGAAGAACCGTATCGTCTAGTCAAGATTCCACGGAGAATCGATGGCAGTGCAAAGCTATCTTTTATAGAATTGGTATATCCAAAAAATATGCGGGCGAAGATTTTGTAAATAAATTGCTTGCAAAATATGAGAAAAGTGGTAAGTGCTTTTATTGTAACGTCGCTCTGTGAATAAATTCGTTCTGCAATATAAAAAAAAATCTAAATCTGCGAATAATAGTCATAATAACATACAATTATGATCTCGCCTTATAGATCATAATAAATTATTACTTGATGACGTTGCGCTAATGCACACGGCACTTGCACGAAATCGTATGCTGCAGGACTTAGGTAATGGTGTAATACACGCCGTAGATGATTCCTTGTACAGGTGAGCTGTATATGATGAAGTCAATATTCAACAGCAAATCGCAAAATCTGTTTCATATGACCAATTCATAATTGTTTATAGAATTATTGTATCGTAATTTTGTTTTCTATAATATTTTCTCTAATACACGTAACGAAATCTTATTTCTTTACAGAAGTAATAATGCAGGTTACGACGAGGACGTGGACTACGATTGGGAAACGTTGAAACCAAGTGCCGCTTTACAAGAAGAAATAAAATGCCTGTTACAAGAAGTATAAAAGAAACAAGATTTATCCTATTAAATTTAAATATTTAAAATTGTAATTGACAATTTTTTTCTATACACAAATTACATCAGTATATTTCTCACTATATATGTGCACGTTCCGAATCCGTATATACATATATACCGTACATACATATATCTACATATATGTACGTATATATAAGATATCAGTGTATGTAAAATAGATTATCTGTGTCGACTGTGTCTGATTTCTCATCATAACAATTTCTATCATCGCGGTTTCTCGCAAGCTGATCTAATCATAAAAAAGAAAAATCTTCAGTTTTTATATGGATATTTTATTTTCGATGAAAAACCGTCGATATGTTTTGGGTTAATTTTAATCGTGAGTGATGAACTTGCACTTTTTTGATAGAATTTCCCTATATTTGTTTTTGTTTATACAATGTACATACGCATATATATATACATATATATATATATATATCAATCCAGAGATTATAATGCAATTATTTTGAGATTGATTTTGCATTAATCACTTCTGCGAACACAGGCCGCACCGATGTCATTTTGTAGTATACTCCTTGCCTTTCCTAACAGGCGTTCATTAATCTATAAAAAAAAAAAAAAAGTAAAAAATTATAAGACAATAATTAAGATATTTGTGATATAATTAAATTATTTCCTCATACTCTTGTGTAATGACGTATCGATTCATCTTGCAGTATCTGACGTTTAAACAACTCAAGATTTGTACGATACAGTTCATACAAAACAAGACCTGAAATATTATATTATTATAGAAAGGTAATAAATTAACTCTTGAAAAAATGAACATTTGTATTTTATTTTGCTTAACTAATTAGTTAACATGGCGCGGATAATTTTTTGTTTTTAGTATATGCTGTATACCTTTTTTAATAGAGTCTCCAGAACCTAGAGCGTCTAACGCGGAAAGTACATCGTTACAATAGGTTCTCTTAATTTTGAGTTCTGTATCGGTAAGATCTGAAATATAATGCAACATAAAAAAGTTCGTAAAAGTGATGATACTATATTTAAGTAAGAAATAAAAAAAATATTACATGTTACCTTTCCATTTAAGTTCAGGAGTTCTACCGAAGTAAGAGATTATACTATACTTAACATCCATCAGGATGTAATTAGTGGCAGGTACCAATTTCGACAATACCGCTTCTACAAACTTGAGAATTTCCCGCGGAGTTTTGTGTAAAACGTCAAGCACAAGTGCGTGTAACGTCGAACGAATGCAATCGATCTAAAATAAATTTATTAAATCCATAGTCGTAAGACAAGAACAAAAATTCAAACCAGACCTTTGAGTTGTGACATAAAAAAGCCATGTGTATATAACTTTAATTTATGTTTATTATTTATAGATATGAACATTTCATCAGCCTTCGGATATTACCTGTCTGTGATTCACGCTGATTCGACACGTGTCGCAGATCCAGGGAGAGCCGCGATTGAGAGGATCGCGGGGTAACAGATGACCCGAGCAATCGTCTTTCGCGCAGAGAAGCGCACCGAGCCGAGATCCGAATTCCTGGAAGAAACACAGCGTCTCGCGTGAACGTTGCGTCTCGCGCGAGGGATTGCGAAGAGAGTATTGGACGTACCGAAGGATCGGAGCACCTGTTGCAGTTGCAGGAAAAGAATTTGGTAGCTCTGAGAAACTGTCTTCTTCTCAACGTGTCCCACAACAGATCGGTGTAAGACATGGTGATCTCCTCGCCGGCTGCGATGGGCATCGCGGCGCTCACGTACAGTCGTTGCCGATCGTCAAAGTGATGCCTCGTGTTCGGCACGCAGCAGTGATTCTGCAACGCGCCCATCGGATAAAGACCGCGTAAACTCGTGGTGCGATCGCGGTCCGTCGCGACCACCACCTCGAACGAATTTGTATTGAAAATCCCGGAAATCCGTCTCATGAGTTCTATCTGCTCCTCGTTGGGAGTATTGCTCACGTTCTTCTTTATCAGATCGACCTGTGCGGTGAACAATAACGGAAGTACTTGTGTTTTACAAAAAAAGAGGTGTGTATGTATTTAAAAGTTCAAAAATAAAATATTTGATAAAATTATATATAAGAGAAACATTTACAGATAATATGAAAAAGACAAACATAACATTTGAAATCCAGCACCTCACGATCCTGAATAAGATTCGAATGGCACTCGAAGGCGTGTAAGAGTTCGCGCTGCTTCCTCGACAACGTGAGGCCGCGTATCGGTACCACCGCGAGCAACAGGTCCTTGGACCAGGTGGAACCGCAGGTCGGTGTCCATTCCTTCAGAAACCGGCACTCCGTTTCGGCGTGACGCGCGGAATTCTCGCATTCCGTCGAGCAGATTGGCAAACCGCAACCGTTATCGCAAGGGAACAGCGGACAGTCACCCTTGTAGCAGACCACGCACATCGGCGGGTACTTGTTGTAACATCGCGGTCCTATCAGCAACGGTGCGTCCGTGAAGATCAACTCGCCGGCTCGAATGTCTCGCGTGGCGAACATGCCGCGACCTCCCAACGAAGAATGTTCGATGGTCCACAGACGAGACAATTCATCTCGCAACAGATTGTTTTCGCGCAGATGAAGCTCGAGCAGTTTTTCGACCTCGCGCGGTTCCATCATCAAACGCACTTCTGTCAACTTTTCCCGTAGCGCGACACGCTTTTTACTTTTATATGCAATCGTCTTCTCTTACAAACATCTGACAAGGATGTATTTATTGTTTCAACACGGCACTGAGCCAGAGTGATTTCGCATAGCTCAGTTCTGAGTCTTGTTGATCTCGCGGGATTTACTATGGCACAAATAGAAAATGGGTTCTTATGAATCTTGCATTGTGTAAACAGCAGGGATTCTCTTTTCCGATGATTAGAATTTTCTAATCATTATATGATAAAAGATTTTTACATGTGTAAAGAGATGCCACACTCTGTACAAATGTACGTGTACGTGCACAGCGCGCAGGTATTTATACACACGTTTTTTGTCAGGTATGTGATATACAGGGTGTCCGACAATTAGTGTAAAATCTCTCGTGGACAGATAGAGGAAGTAAAACTGAGTCAAAAAATCCTGAACCATTTTTTGGCGTTTAAATGATTGAATAAATCAAGCCAATCAACGCCGACCTTTAGCCTTAAACGCACGTGAGTGAGCCGCGCGGAGCGCTCACGCACACAAGGCGCGTGGTTCACGACGTGCGTTCGGCTAAAGATCGGCGCCGATTGATTTATAATTTATTCAATAATTACTTCTTTATTATACGTAATAGAAAAAAATGGTTCAGGACTTTTCGACTCAGTTTTTCTCCTTCTATCTGTCTACGAGAGATTTTTTACACTAATTGTTCGGACACCTTGTATATCGATCTTAAAGGAACAAGAATAGCTCAGCTTTCGTAACACAACTGCGAGTTTAAATCGTATATAAATAAATATTACGCAACTCTAATGCTTCAATTAATTGTTCGAAGTTACAAACGATCGTGAAACAAGCTTGGGATAAAAAACGTGGGAAGCACTGATCATAATAGAAATGGTGATTTTAAAATAGAATTTTGTTTTGTTGGTATTATATACGCGCGCCTGGAAAACAGCCCAACTTGCCTACCTTGTTTATCTCACGAAATGTCATCAAATAGTAAACAAAGCGCGTAAAAATGTCGGAATAAATGACATCTTCCAAAACATAAGGCGTCATGTGTTTTATATGTATCATTTTTAATTATTTACTTAAAATTCTATCGAATGTAAGTCGTTACATTTGCTCAATTGCGCTGTAAAAGTACTATTTGCAATAGTAATTCTCACTACGCTCGCGTGTGCGGGTATCGATTTGCGCTGAAAATTGTGAAACATTGATCTGTTTTCCGCAACTGAAAACACGCCTGACATTATTACAGCTTTCAAAGAACCAATCTATCATCTTTATTTTTTTATTAAGAAAAAAATAAATCAATAATTAAAAAAGGGGTTGCTTCAACAATAGATAACAACAGTAAGCGCGTGTCTATGTTATCTATGTTCTCTTTTGACACGTCGTCGGATGCAAAGCTGTACAGGCAAGAGAGACGCTAACGTTTTTTACATACGAATCTTGAACTACTTTTCATTGTTAAGATATTATTTGAGGGCTCGAGCGTCTCTTGCCTGTAGACAGATTGCATTCTACGAATTGTACAAATTAAAAAACGCCTGGGGACATCGATTAATTGCTAACTGCTCTTTCTCTGTTTTGTTTAAATAATAGAAAAAATATCGGGATCTCAAACATCGACACGATTGTTTCACGCAAGCGTATCCAGCACGTAATAGCTATTTGTATGGCCGGACGTTGCCAAGGACTACGGTTCGAGTTGTCGTCGTCGTTGTCGTCGTCGACGGGATATCGTGAGCGGCATCGCTAAGAACAACGTGCATACATACAACGTATATACACCACCGGCCTATGCCGCGTCAGCAATATATGCGGCATACCGTACTGTGTACAAAATTGTCGAAAGTGCGGTGTTCCACGAGACGAGACTCGCGTTCTCCCTTTTTTTATTGCCCGCCGTCGCACAGATATGGGAAGGTAATTGGAGAAAGAAGGATCCGTCACAGCCCTTCCTGGTATCTCTCCCCTTCTTCCCCATCCTGAGAAGATCCTTCCGCTCTTTAATTCTTTCAGAGGGATCACACGGTATTCCTGTATCAAGTGTAAAATTAACTATATCTCTCTTTCTCTCTCTCTTTCTCTCTCTTTTTCTCTCCCTCTCTCTATTTCTCCGCAGGATTTTAACTGATAACGCAACGTTGATATAAAGAAGGTCACGGACGAGCAATGACATAATAGTAACGTGACTCGGGACAATATTATTGAGAGTTCGACTGAGAATTGTTTTTTTTTGTTGAGAAAGTTGCTATAATATCGTCAACTTTTTTATTCGTTCTCTTCATATATTTTAGAGAGAGAATATATATACTCTTATGTACAGTTCAAAAGTTCTAATTAAATATATACGGTTGTACGTACTCTGTAGCTTTTCTTTTTTTCTTTATAATTATTATTACTACATCAAAATTCTTAGTTTCAAAATTCGTCAAAGTTTTCGAATTACAAGATTTTGCCACTTGATATAATTTGTTAACACCAACATGTCTATCGAACAAAAAAAACGATTTTTGTCCAATTTCATAGTAAACTTGATGTAAAACCACGGATACTAAGTATATATATTGAGCGTGTAATTTATATACTTCATGTTACATAGATGCGCTTGCACATTATATCCAACATGAAGCGAATAGATCGCTATCTCTCGTTTAATTTATACCGTGTAATGGCTTTATGTATATTTTCCGATCTATGTATAATATGTACGTAGATTATATTCGGTATGTACCCGATATGTACCGAATATAATGCATACGTACACACGAACCACGGTAACATAATCTTTTTATACATGACACGTGCTTATAAGCACACACACACACACATCTACACATCAGCAACAAATCGACGTACATATGTATATGTATATAACATGCTATAATCATGCTACGAAGGTATGTAGGGCCACTTAGACTGGTTTATAAGCGGAGTTACTGTTCGCCATCCGCAACAAGGAGCACGCACAAAAGTTGTATTTTTATTCTAACAATATTGTCGGCCACGATAACGGTGTTTGCGCTAGGACCGGATTGTAGCGGAGATCCCTGTATGTACGGGATCTGTTTGGACAACGAGAACAGGTATACACATACATATATCTAGATAGACGCAAATTTGCTCTCGCAAAGCACACGCTCGACACACACATCTCGACAGCTGTCTAACAAGACTCGGATGTAACTTCCTTTGGCATAATATGGACACGAGTTACGCGCGGGAATGAACCAAGGATAAATGTAGGAACGAGCGAAGTTTTTATAATATTCTCGGAAGTTCGCGCGTTAAAGATACACGATGAAGATAACGCGACAAAGTTGTTCAGAGATCACGTTTGGAGATCAAATAATTTGACAAAGGGAATACCTATAATTTAAAGCTCGTGGAAAAAAAAACACACAAGTGCGAGACACGTGCGAGAGGGATAGATAAAAATTAGAGAAAAGTATTTATTTTTCTGTCTTGCGAAACAACTTTGGGGATCATGTCAGCACGTACTCCTGTTACTGCATCGACGGCTACACGGGGATTAATTGCGAAATCAATTGGGACGAGTGCTGGTCAGATCCTTGTCTCAATGGCGGCACGTGCAACGACGGCGTAGCCGCGTACAATTGCACTTGCCCCGACGGTTTCGTAGGTACATAAATCGCTTTACTCTTTTTTTTTTCTTTTTATTTGCTCGTACAAATTAAAATTGACTGAACCGAATGACAATTTAAATAAAAATACCAGGTACCAATTGCGAACAGAGATACAGCGAGTGTTCGAATCATCCGTGTCTCAACAATGGCACCTGCGTCGATTACGATGGCATCACCTGTCAATGTCCGGACGGTTATTCAGGTGCGACGAAAGAAATATTCTTGATGATAAAATTTTATTTTTGACACACAATTTTCCATTATTCGTAACTCTGTTGTCTTGCTCGTAGGAGATTACTGCGAGATCGACGCCTCGGTTTGCAACGATACTATATGCAAGAATTCCGGCGAGTGCGTCGAAGGACCGGGATTCTCATTCTATTGTCGTTGTCGCGAAGGTAAACATAGAAAAAAAATTGTATAAAATTATCTCTCTATAAGTGAACAAATATTTCTCAGCTTGACTACTGACTTTGATTGATTTTTTTATGATGCGAAAAGGATGGACCGGTACCCTCTGCGACGTCGATATCGATGAATGTTTGGAGTCGCCGTGCAAAAACGGCGGTCTCTGCATCAATATCCCAGCTTCCTATACTTGCGCTTGTTTATTCGGTAAATTACTTTCATTATTTAACGAGTGAACTCGTTGATATATATTTTTCCTAGATGGATCAAATACAATGTCAATTTTAATGACCAATTCCATTTTTTCGCACACTCTTAGTTTATATTGTTTTAAAGTAAATAATATTTCAAAGGTTTTACTGGCAAGGATTGCGACAGAGCGATCGTGCCGTGCGACGAGAATCCTTGTCAAAACGGTGCGGTGTGCTTGCTGGAAGACGAGCATCAGGTTTGCTACTGCGTTCCCGATTATCACGGCGCGTTGTGTGAACTCAAATACGACGATTGCGAATCGAAATTCGCTCAATGCGACAACGGAGGCACTTGCGTCGACGGTATCAACAGCTTCACTTGCTCTTGTCCACCGAATTACGGGGGTCCGATGTGCGAGTACAGTTTCTTCTCGACGGTCACCAGCGTTGAAGTAGCGGATACGTCCGAAGCGGAAACGAGTCCAATTAAAAGCACGACCTCCGTTGTATCACCCGAGGCATCGACTTCGATAGTGGACACTTCGGTATCGTTATCGTCAACATCGACCACTAGCTCTTCTGTGTATTCGACGACCCTGAGAGCAAGCAGTTCATATTACACGAAGAGATACACGTCTCCGGACAAGACGACCACGACCTCAGGATACGAAGATGGAAGTTCCACCGGGGCCAGTAGCGTTAGTGTTTTTCTTACCGTTCCATTTGCGAGATCCACGACTGTCAGAGACACGACTCAAGACAATCTCGTTACGTCCGAATCGGTGACGTTGCCGCCTTCCGTAACTACCGAAAGTCACTTTCGCACAACCGAGACGGGAAGCACCGAGGCTTATTTTCCAACCGGAAGATCAGTACGCGACGACGAAGTTACGAGAGAACCCAGCGATCAGACAACGAAGACCACGTACTCGTCCACGTACGATCAGACCACAAAAACATATTCACCGGCTACCGATAGAACGTACGAAAATGTGACGCACGTAACGGAATACACAATGAGTTTCAGGTGAATATATTATCTTGTAAGAAGTGTTTTTTTTAAAACATTGCAAGTTAATTCTCACAATCTGATACAATTCGTGTACACGCGCGAGATTTTGCGAAGCTTTTATAACGCTGCACGTTTTTTACACAGTCATCAACCAACAATGCTAACTACGAGTGAAAAGGAAAGGAGCACCGCACCAAGTGTCGCGACGGAACGCAGTTCCACGGACGCATCGTTTCCATTCAACACAAGTGTGTTCCAGTATACAACAGAATCAGCGCACAACAGAACCCTCGACGTGGGAACCACAGTCGTAGGCTCGCCGAAAACTGTTCTACCTCTGACCAGCTCGTCAACACTGCCGTCAATATTATCCTCCTCAACCGTGAAGTTCGACACTTCCACGGTACCTCCTCCGTTAACACCCACCGGCATATCTTTGGCAAATCAAACCGATACCGGCATCACGGAAATCGGTGCTTGCCGCGGGAATCAATGCTCAACGAGCACCACCGCTTTAACTCCGCGTAACGTTACCGAAGTGAGTGGTTTTTACGCAGAACAAATTGAAAATTAATTTGCATTCAAAAGGGAGAAAGAATTTGAAGATTAAGTCCGCTTAATTTTTTGTGTTTTTATATTTTTCACATAAATTTTTCTCTTAAGATACAACATTTTAAAAGGTATGTAATGTGTGTATTTTTTTTTGTATGTATCTCATATCTGTGTGCGTTGTTCAGTATGCCGATGGTTGCAAGACCGATTCTACCATTACGCAAGCGGCTTTCAACGGCAAATCTTTTGTCAGACAACACATCGAAGTGATAATCAGCGATAACAAGAGTGCAACGCTGCAAATTTACGTCAAACTTCGTACGGCATTTAAAAATGGAATAATACTGCACGTTTACTTCGACAACGAGAGGTACTCCCTGGTTTACTTGGAACTTGGGTCGTTGAAGTTTCAGTTTTCCTGCGGTCTGGAAACTATGTTACTCGGCGAGATCGACGCTGTTATCGATAACGGTTTCGAAGTGGGCATCGATATGAGGTAACGCGCGTGCGAGATGTTTGCATTAAAAGCGATATCACATTCCGTCCAACTTTCAATGTGAATTCTCTCCTTTCTCGCAATTTTGTTTTTGTAAAAAGATTACAAAAAAAGATATATATTTCTCTCTTGCCAGCTTTCATTACGTTGCCAATGACGAAAACGAGAAGTGCTTCGCCAAATTGCTGGTAAACGGCACTATGTCCGTGACCGGCGAACAATTACTGCCGCAACGAGGAATGGTTCCAAGATACGCCAATCTTTACATAGGAGGCATCCCATTAACGTTCTCGCATTATTTTCCCCACGTAGCTATGGGATTTATCGGTTGCATGGATTCTCTGAAGGCAGGAATTTTCACAGGAATGTTATATTCAAAATTGATTTCTATTTTCTCCAATAAAAATTTCGTTGCAGGTGAACGGCATTTCGCGACATTTCATTCACGATTCCATGGAGACCTTTCAAATCGAAGAATGCACGTCATTTTTATGTCTATCGAATCCGTGTCAGAATTTCGGCGCGTGTGAAGAAAGCGACGGTAGAATTCGCTGTAAATGCATAGCAGGGTAAATAATCACACTATCATGCAGCAACTGTGAAACAAGAACGTTTTTAAAAAAAACCTTTTTAATTTCTTCTCTGACATGTTTATTTGCAGCTACACCGGACCTTTGTGCGAGCACTCGGCGTGCAACGACAATCCTTGCTCGATAGGTGCGACATGCGTAAGCTCGCCGGGAACTGGTTTTATTTGCGTTTGCCCGCTCGGCAGTCACGGACTTTTCTGCGAAGAAGGTAAATCACTGTGATATATACATGAAAAAGTGCCAAACAAAAAGCCTTTTAATACACATTCCACGCGCGACGCACTGAGATCGCAATGTGACGAAATTACAAATCGATTTGCTCTCGCCAGATGCTATCCTGGTGCGACCGGCTTTCTCGGTCCTTGTTCCCGGCTTCGCCTCGTACATCGCTTACGGCGTGCCGATTTCGATAAAGGACACAATGGAGCTGAAGCTACGACTCATCCCTCGCACGTTCGATCAAATCTCCTTGATAGCATATCTCGGACAGCGAGGCTCGCGCCGCGATGTCTCGGATCATCTCTCGATAACATTCGTGCGCGGTTACATTATGCTCACGTGGGATTTAGGCTCCGGCGAGTGATCAAAATAAATATTAAATTATAAATCCTATTATATGTAATATATTTGAAGATCTCACATCCAAAGTCATCGAGAGGAGAATGTACGTGTGAGAGATATATAAAAATATATTTAAAGACTCTGTATTATTTTTATAGGAGTGCGAAGAATCTTTACCAGCGACTCATTGAACTCCCTGAACGTAGCGGGGTCGGCCGGTAAAACTAAAACGTATAGTGTTCGAATTGGCAGAAGAGGAAAAGAAGCGTGGCTTGCTGTCGAGGGTCTCAGCAATGTGACCGGTCAGGCGGTGGGATCTATGAGTCAACTCGATGTATCGCCAGTTCTTTATATTGGTACGTTATGAATTTGGCGCTGTGTCAGCACTCATATCGTTTTTCATCACACATTTTATCTTGCTAAATGTAATCATCGTTCGTATGTAATCTGACGTTATTTCATCATTTCATATTTGACGTCGATGGTAAACATAAAATCTTGACATTGACGAATAAATGTCAAGATGATATAGCACACGTTAAATGTGACGTTAAGTAAGCAGTACGTGTGTGTGTTTTATGTAAATTATTTTTTCTTGAAGGTGGCTATAAGTCCAAAAATTTCGAAACGTTGCCGCACGATTTGCCTCTCCATACCGGTTTCTCTGGATGTATATTTGACGTCGAATTGCGCACAGAAACGTCAATTCTTCCGTTGACTGGCTCTAGTCCGGCTACCGGTCGCGGTGTGGGCGAGTGCAATCGCAACGAATGCATTCGCCACTCGTGCAAGAACGGCGCCGTATGTTTGCATCACGGAGCGTCGTATAGGTAATACATAAATCTTAAAAATTCTCTCATAAAAGAAAAAAAAGATGCAAGACACTTTACAAGATACATACACGATGTAATTACTCTACGCGTAATTATTTATTTAACATATGTTTTTTTCACAGTTGTATTTGTACAAAAGAGTGGGTTGGACCAGATTGTTCTATTCCAGCATGATTCGCTAGGACTAATTTTATCCGCATAAGAAAAGAGACAACTATTGTGTCTCAGCTCTTATTACTTAGCGCAAATAAAATAACTGATCGACATCGATGTTACAGATGGTGTTATAAACAGTGAGAGCACGTTGTTCTTACAAATTTTATTATCTATGAATTTTCTATTGACCGTAGCAATCTCTCCGAGATTTAACTTAAATCAGGGGTGTGTTAGTTTTGGGTCGCGAGGTGGCGGAATGAGAGTTCAAGTATACAAATAACATTGCCGCCGATAAACGCGTTTGTAAATCATGTTTGCTGTACTCGTGATGCCATTCGACGTTGCCCCAGTGAGAGATCTACGTGTAAAAAAATTAATATTATCAATATTATTACTATAAAGTTGAAAAAAAAAAAAAAAAACAAAGGCAACTTGAGGTTAAATTATAAATTGTAAAAGATAAACGTTTTTATATACCTGAAATTCCTCTTCTAGTCGCGAAAGACTAACAGCTTCCGGAATATTAATCACTCTTGCAGCCGTGGCAAGAGTCAGAATGACTGATTTTAAACCGTCCACTGCATATACAAGACCTACGTATGTGTAGACAAATACTAGTGAGTAAATTATATTATACACGTATAGTGTTGTTTTTCTATAAAATATTGCCATTACCATAAATACTATTAAAATTATGCGACAATAAGTGTCTTGTTAACGCAGCTTTGGTTTCTGTGGACACAGTAGGAGCTTCTATAGTTTGAGTTCCTGCAATATCCACATCATAATGTTCACAAAACCAACGAATTATAGGATCCCACTTTTTTACTTGTAATTGATATAATTCATCCACCTCCTGAATTCACAAATTGTAATAGTTAAACATCACACTGATATTATAAGGAAGACACAGATTTGTACAAACACTTTCTTACACTGGAATAAAATAAAACTGTATCCGTTTCTAAGCAGTTTACTATGTGATTGACTAGATCTGTCTTGGTGTAATTATGTGGATTATCCAACACAGTGTTGCACAGAGATGTCTAAAGCAAAAGAATAAACTTATCAGCTTGATGCACACAATTTCTATAAATAATAAACTACAATATAAAAAGACTGTCTGATGTAAATTAGTAAAATATAACTGGAATATTTCTATATTGTAATCACACGTGTAAAATAATATTCAATTTGATCTCTTTATATTAGATTCAGAACAGTTGTGTTAGTGTTCAATATGAAATGACAATGCAGGCCAAGATTATATTTTTGTTACATAAAATTATATATCAATCATACCAAGTGCATACTTCCTCTGTCAATGGTCTCCTTCTGTGCATCCCATTCAGCAGCCACAGCCAAAGCTAATGGTTCGCTATTTACTTCAAATATTCTACCTTGAGGTGTCTTCAGCTTCCTCTGATCCAATGTAATCTCAAACTTGCCACCATTTGAAAGTATATTTGTTCTTCTATAAAATCGTTTTATAGTGGCTACAAGTGTCAAAGTATCTTAAACACACTGCTAGTAAAAATCAATCTCAAATTACGTATTTTCATTTAAATACACATTGGATAATAAAATCTGTCAAATAAGAATCTAACCTAAAATATTTTTAACAAACTATAACAGTGGTAATAATTACCCATATTTCTTACTACTAAGGAAGAAGGCACAAATTTGTTGCATTTAAAGTAATGTAACGTATTGATTAGTTTGTTAAAAAGTTGTAGCGTATTGTTCATTATTATTGTATTGCAAGTGGATCAAAAGACAAGAACACTGAAGAGTGTGTGTGTGTATCGAAAGTTAACATGGCGGTGTTCTTCTTCATAGCAAAAATTGATTAAGGTAATTTAAACGTTATGTGAAAATGAAAAGAAGAGCAATTGATAAAAAGTAACAAAAAAATGTTAATAATTTTTTGTATATTTTTGTATATTTTTTGTTGTATAGTACTCTATTAGGAGAATACTTGAGCAAAGGGATAGGGCGCACCTCTCAGCCATTTTCGAGAAAACTCGATTTAAATTAAATCATATAGTGTAGCTTATATAGCCTTTCGTTAGTAATATTTTCAAGAACCGCTGCGTAGCGCAGGTGCTTAGGTGCCCGACTGCTACGCTGGAGACTAGGGTTCGATTCCCGCCGGCTTTTTTTTTTTTTTTTTTTTTTTTTTTTTTTTTTTTTTTTTTTTTTTTTTT